GCTTATCTTAGACCGCTGTTCACTCTACTGTACCTTATTCCAGCAGCACAAAACAAGTGGAAAGCCAGCTTATTCAGCAAGTATAGGATGCCCCCGAAGGACAAGAATTTGCAGATAGTGCAGAGAATTCAGAGCTTGCAGAAGAGGACTATGGGCATGAACAGACTGACCCAGCAGAGGGAATGTAACAGAATCAGGGGAGGCAAACCAGCCACAAAGATGTTTCATGTATGATGCAGAACACATCTTTGTGGTTGGTTTGTATGTACTTTAAATGGAAGTATAGCATGCCCATTCCTCATAATCAGCTGATTATCAATATCGGGACTGGACAGCCCAGGTCTCAAGCTGGGTTGGGGCTGCCTGGAGGTCTGCAAGTGCTGGGCAGAAGGAACCGACTGGATCCCCCACTCAGCAAGTTTAAAACCATGCACCAGTATCCCCATCACTTCTCTTCCAAAACTAAACTTCCAGCAAAAATTGTTAATGCTTTGTAATTATTTTATCCACTTTTTAAAATCAATCTATTTGAGTGAGAGGCAAGGGTTTTTGTGAGTGATATCTTTATTAACATTTACCATGTTTCAGTTTAAAATAACCCTGATTTTTGGAAGTTACACATTTTCACAATGCTTTTAAAAATTACATTGGTACAAATTTTGACTAAAATATTGAAACAATTTTTTCACTAAAATACCATTAAAATTAGTGAAAATTGTAAAATGGGTCCATTTCAAATCCCAGGAAATAGAAAGTGTTGACATTCTTGTAAAATATTTTTCTGGTTGTTTGAGCACTGTATTCAGACTATTACATGCTCTGACAAAATCTTTGTTAACTTTGAACAATGCTTTTTAAGTGAGTGACCTCATTGATTGTAGTATCTGAACACTTACAGTCAAGACAGTAAATAATTCTTAATTCCTAATATTCCTTAATAGTGTTAAGGTTCCACAGTATACCCAACAGAAATGTTGAGTCTTGGGTCTTGATTCTCCACACCCTTATACTAGCTTTACACTAAAGATATTGTCGTGCTATTGCTGTGAGCCGCACAAATGTTGATCAGTGTTGTGCTAGCTTAGAGTTTGGAGCAGTGTCACACCCTTAGTCTAGAAACCTTCTCTGACTGTCCAGCACCTTCACAGCTGTGACTTACCACTAGATGCCTGGTGAGCCAGGACAGGCATCTATCCCTGCTCCCTAGAATATAGGGCTTGCCAGAGTCCACCTGGGTCTGGGGGCTCTTTGGGACTGGCCACAATTTTCCCCCACTCCCACGGGCTTGGATTGGGGGAGTGGGGTCTGAGACAGGGTCCAGCAGTGGCCACCAACTCAGACAGGCTCAGAGGTGATGAGAAAAGGTGCCCAGGGCCACCATTCCTTGCAAGAGGGCTAGAAGCTAGGGGAAACAGAAAAGCTGTGGCTCCACTCCACTAAGCAGCTGGGGGTGTGAGAGCCCAATCCAACCCCCAGCCTTGCTTCTTCCCCCATTCCCACCTGCCCCCCATGAGCCTCACTCCCATACAGCTCTGTGCCCTATTGGTCTGTGCTGTGTCCACACAGAATCAGGGGTGGGAGAATGGCCACTACAGCCTGGGATACTGGAGGACTTCAACACGAGTGGCACATCTGTGGGGAGTGGCCACATATTCATGGAACAGGAGCTGAATTGTGAGGATTAGATATAATCCTGCCCTGAAGCAGCATAATTTTGAGCCACATAACAAGTGCTTTAAGACACTTTAAGACAATCTGGGGAGAGCTCCAGGAGTCACCCAAAATTACTGTGTAACAAGGCTCTAATCCACTAAAGTCAGTGAGAGTGAACCCAGTATAACAGAGTGGAAAAACAAGCACATTAGCCTCTTCTGAGGTTCTAATAAAATCTTAAAACTGAGAGCAAATTGCCAGTATAAAATACATAAGGGAAAATTCTGAAATCTTGACCCAACCCAAACTCCTCTCTACTATTTGTTTCAAGGACTGATGGAAGTTCTTGGGCAGTCAGTGAAGTGTGCATGGTGTGTACATGGAGGCAAAGATTTCTCTGAAGACTGGAAGTTTAACTGCAGTGCAAATAGATGCAGTTTTCCTTTTCTTTGAACTTTATAATCTATATCGAGCTTTATCTCATTTCCTTCCACTATTTAACAGCATCATTTAATTAAATGCATTCAATTAAGATATTTATTGAACTAAAGAATATTTAAAGTAAAGTACATGCCAGTACTGCTGAAGAGTCATCATATAATTACAGCCTTATTCAGCATTCTTTACCTTCTCCTCACTTAAGCCACAACTTTTGCTGAAACCAGAGTGCAGCCAAACATTTGTAAGCAACTTAATTGTTCCCCTAACCAAAGTGTGCTCTGCCATCTAGTGGCAAAGATGTCACAATGTTATTTAAATGGCAAAACTGCATGAAACCCTTTGTACATGTTATTGTGTTCCTTTAAAAAAAACAATTATGGGGAGGTGGCAAGATACCAACAGTGACAGTTATAGAATAAACACTTAGGAGGTGTTTTGATTTCTGTAAATCCTTTAAATCCTCCTATAAAAAAATCCTCCTATAAAATCCAGGAAAGCTTTGGCTTCTATAATGAGTATAATAACTGGTGGCAGCAGCTTCAGCTGAACGTTCTTGGAGAAGGGATTGTGCACAATCAGTTTAAAGACACAGACCTGACACATTTGTTTAGCTGGGTTTATGATACCAGGGGGAAGGTGACTAAACAGCGATGAAGGACTTTAATAACCTGCTAAAGTTGGTGAGGGGAATCATTTGACAAAGGGACTGGAGGTTATAAAAGAAATTGTCTCTCTCCAGTTACTTCAGAATGAGAGGAAAGAGACCAGAAGCAGAAAGGTGACTACAGGATATAAAGTAGACTCCATATTCTTCAATAGCAGGGGTAAAGAGGAGAGGAGAGATCTGGACTTCTAAAAGGACTCTGACAAATGCCAAAACAATGACCTTGACCAACGATAAAATGAAGGCAAGGAAATGTGTGCAGGCGTGTTATTGTTTTTTTCTTGGATCTGTACTTTTCTTGCACTAGTAAAGAGTGATTGGTTTGGAAACCTTTATAAAATGTGTTTGATGTGCTTCAGCTATCATGGGATCCAAAAGAAAAGAATAACGCAGGCTGCCCATAAGGTGGGTGATCTGGAAAAGCAGGCTGGAGCACCTTGGAGGGTCAGAATTGGTCCCATGGGCCTAGGGCAGTTGAACTGTGAGATCCCATTTCCATTAACAAAGAATCTATATCAGGGTTGGGCAAAATACGGCCCGTGAGCCAGATCCAGCCCACAAGGCCATTCTATCCATCCTGCAGGGCTCCTAAAAAAATTTGGAAAATTAATATTTCTCTGCCCTTGGTTCCTGTCAAAAATGGCCATGGGGGCTGCGAGCGCCTGCAGTGTGGGTCACCGGCCATGGGAGGAGGTGGCGCTTCCCCCCCATGCTC